GGCTTTTAAGGATGGATTTAAATCTCCAAGATGATTTGTAAATTTAAAAAAATATTTTCATACTTTAGAAGCATAAAATTTTTACACTTACTATAAAAAATGACTTCAAAGTAGCACTGAATGTGGACTATCATTCGTCCTCCTTTTTGTATCTACTATAATATTTTTTTTAATATTCTTTCTCCAGACTCTACTTTGTGGTGATGCCCATCTGCTGCTTCGCCCTGCCCATGATCTTCCCCTACTACGTGATGGGCAGCTCTCTGCGTGTCTGCTTCTTCACCTGCTCGATGCTGCGCTTCTGCCTGTCGCTCCACTTCACCTGGTTGGTGAACAGCGCCGCCCACTTCTACGGCATGAAGCCCTACGATGTGAACGTGAGTGCCATGAACAACAAGCTGGTGTCCACCTTGACCATCGGCGAGGGATGGCACAACTACCACCACGTCTTCCCCTGGGACTACAAGGCAGCTGAGCTGGGCACCTACAGCTTCAACTGGACGACGGCCTTCATTGATGTGATGGCTAAGATCGGTGAGTTCTATTGAATCGCATATAATACCAAAACATTTTCTAACTTGTATATATTTGGTTTCACTCTTAAAGGTCAAGCCTACGATTTGAAGTTCGTGTCCCAGGAGATGGTCTACAAGCGAGTCCTGCGCACTGGCGATGGTTCCCACATTGCGGCCCTGCTGGATGCCAACAACAACAGTGCTATCCCCACTAGCGAACTGGTGGCCCATCTGGATCACGAGAAGGAGGAGCACGCCATCTGGGGATGGGACGACAAGGACATCAGCGAGGAGGATCGCAAGAGCGCCAATGTGGTGAACAAGGAGTCCGAGTGCAAGCTGGATTAGAGGATTGGGGGAGAACTGGGGAGTTCACCCAAACGAACACACTTCTTGCTGCCACATCGGGCCGCAGTATTTAATTATATTAATTGCCTATTTCTCCATACTGCCTACGCATTCAAATGGTGGCTGTTAAACAAACTAGAAAGGACAAAGAGAGTCAAAATCAAGGGGGATTCCGACCGTGAGACCCGATCCGATGGCAGCAAGAACATCTTATATATCAATGGCTTCAATTCCAAATACAACAAAACAAATGAAAACTATTCGAGATTAGTCAAAGCAACTCGTTGGCAGCAACAGAGTGTTAAAAAATTCTGCACCTTATTAATTCTCTACACAATCCCTTTCTCGCACTTGTCGTTCGGGGATAATGAACACATCTGCCACTCTCTCCCTATCTTTATATCTATCTCTATACTTATATATAACTGTATATTTACGCAAGAGGTTCTAGAATTAAGCGTACCTGCTAAGATCTATTTTAAGCATCGACTTTTATGTGTGTGTACATTGTGTTAGTTATGTAGGTCTAAAATTGTACATTTCAAAAACCAACTATTGTTGAAAACTCAAAAAAAGTATATAAAACTTAAAAAAAAAATTGCTTGCATTTTTTTATTTAACGTTTTTTTAATACGAAATGGTTTTTTTGGCGAACTGGTTTACAAAAGATTATTTTAATTGAGCCTTTAAAATTCCACTTTTGGAATCTTAAAGTATTTGTTTGATAGTTTGTTTGTTGAAAAAATATTTTTCTTTTAAACGAATTTCTATAAAATATCTCAAGTAGTATCGTTATCCATTTATAGCGAAGTTCATTAGACACTTACCTACTGCAATACATATGAAACCCGACTATTATGGCCATTTTACGCTCAATAAACCAAGCCATTTGAAAGCAATTCTTCTTAGGTCGTATAAACTACATTCATGACATAGACATTATTATATTTATTACATCCCATTAACACCGTAGGAAAGTTTTATTATTGTAATTTGTTCTAAGCTAGCATTCAACTAATTGCTTTTTTAAGCTTTTCACGCTCTCTATTTAGGCATGGGTAGGCTTTTGGGAAATAAACTTAACGAAAGTGTTATATGATATATATCAGAGGTTAAATTTCCTAAGCAATAAATATGGCTTCAAAAATGTTTCAGGGGGTTCAATTAATATTGGCTATCTGGTGATATTCCCTATTTAAAATTCCAGTTAATTCAATTTTTGTGACTAACCAAAACATATTGTTAAATTAATATTTACCAAGACTAAAAATGAACTCCTTTTTACCAAAAGTTTTGTAGACTAAGAAAAAATAAAACCATGACACAGGAAACAGCTTTTATTGGAAAAGTGGACAGAGGGTGGACATTATCTAGGGAGCTAACTGTAGCTGATGTGCTGCTCCTCGTGGGTGTTGAATTGGGTGCGGGCTGCGTACAGTAGAGCCGCCATAAAGGCGCCGTTGTTCATCACCAGCGACAGGATGGTGGCCATTTTGAGGGCCGGCAGGATGAAGGGTAGCAGGCTGCCCAGCAGGACGACGGGGAAGATCAGCATGGGCACCGCCACTTGCATCATGGTGACCTTGTACGAGTTCTTCTTCTTTCGTTTACCCAACACCCCTCCACCACCGCTCTCTCCACCTGCTACGCCCCCTCCGCCTCCCAAGACACCCTGCTGCTTGGAATCCCCTTCCGCTTCCGGTTCGTAGTTCTCCACACTTCCGCTATTGGCACCTCCACCGCTAATGGACGGGAGATTCATCAGGTTCAGCTCCATTTCTTCGGTCTCACGTCTGCGGGAACGCCCCATCCGGGATTTTGGGGCTTTAAGGAAAGGAATAGAATCTTTATTTTATAAAACTTGCAAACATGTATTCACAATTTAAACAAAATTCTAGAATGTATACGTATTACGTAAATCAGTATTAAAACCTTGTATTGTGTTAGAGAAAACTTAGTTATGCTGTCAATTTCCGGTTCTCAAACATATTTATTATCTATTCAATTGAAATTCCCTGCATAAAATTCGGCATCACTTATTTCGTGCATGCGCGGAATATTTCCAAATGATTAAAGCCACGCTCAATATCGAACTGACCAAACTAGTTATATGAAAAGCCACATTAATATAGTATTATTTAAATGTGAGAAAGTAAATTAATAGGTGTTCTTAGAAATCAAGTGAATGAATTTTAATGAGTAGGTGCGTTGTGCATATCTACTCTTATGAAAGATCAAATGCAAAACTATAATATAATTTTCGGGTATGCTTAAACTGTATTTTATTAGGTTTATGTTGTATATCATTTTTTTGGGGTAAATACTTACTCTTCTTGAGCGAAAACTTCAGTTTGTTGTCCTTACTGGGCACGATCTTCACCAGCATTCCGGATAGGAAGTGCAGCTTGAGGTCGCGGTGCTTGAAGAAGCGCTGGAAGTTCACCACCAGCCGCTGGTTGAGCTCCTTCTCGGACATTTTCTGGTACTTCTTGCCCACCAGACTGCCCATCTGGGTCTCCTCCCCGAAGAACTGGTCCACAAAGTCCCGGGTGAGATTGCCGCTATTGGGCATCTGGCGGCGCTCATCCATCTTTTGCAGCACGTACAATTTCGTGCAGTGTAGCATGGTGAAATCCCTCAGACATTCGTAGATTCGCATTGGAATCGACGCCCTAAAGTATGACACACTATTCGCCGACTGACTGCGACCTGTGGTGGTCTGGTTCAAGTCTCCGCTAGGAGTCACTGCATCTTGGCCAAGTAGTGGGGTGAAGTTTAAAAGGAGGCACAGGCCAAGTCCGAGCAGGACGTGCCAGGATAAGGATCTTGCTGGGTTGGCACGCATTTTCTGTTTATATTTTGGTTTGTTTTTTGCCCAAACAACACAACTGCACCGCAGCAGTGACAGTGGAAAACTGAATGCACATCTTGGCCAAGAGCAGCTGCCATCCTAGCCCGATTGCCTCGTCGATTCTTGGCCACTACTTTCCTCCAGTCGGGCCAACTGGTTTGCGATTGGCTCGCCAACGCTTGGCTGCCTCTTAGATTTAGTTTAGCGGGTCAGGCGGCAGTTGCTCTCACTTGCCGCTATCAACTTGCCACTTGCTACTTGCCCCACTTGCCTGACTTACGGCCGTTGGATTCGATTGTTTACAGCCGAAATTCTGGGGCCAGTTGTGATGCCACTAATCACCGCCAGAATAAAATCTGTTCCAGCCGAGAATCTGGCGCACCTGGCTCATTTTTCAGTCGCATTAACTGTGTCACTAGTGCGTCTGCAAGTAAAAGTTACTCAACGGGGGTTCCAGGATTTGATTTGTAACATATTATATCGAAATAGAAAAGTTAAAGAACCCAAGGAATAACATAATTTTATCCAACGTATATTTTTTTAGTCTTCAAACAATTTTCAACTAATTTTGTTCTCTTCTGTTTCTTAAATAATGATAAAAATAAAAAAATTTTAATATAATAAAATGTTATGAACAAAAATTCTGATACCAATTTTTGTAATGCTTACAGTTCTCTTTAGTTACCTTTAAATTTCTATACTAGCCTACACAAATTAAAATACATATTAATCTTCGAGTGTATCCGTTAGTTTGTTGACAGTGTGCAAAATTGTAAAAATTGCCGCAAAGTGGAACAATTAAAGCCGGATTCAAGATGATTGAGTGGCTAGATCGCTAGAAATTCGATACGCCTTGAATTAAGTGTCGATGGATCAAGTGAGAGTTAATTAATTAGTCTCTAACCATAATGAGGTATAAGTATAGTCAAGGAGAAATCCGGGCGGTAGCCAATTATCGGCATTGGTGTTCCGACTAAGTGTGACCCATTTCGATTATTTTGGAACTGGGAGTATCAATTGACTTTCTATACGTGTGGCACTGCGGAAGAGCAGTTAAAAGAACCGTAAATCACGAACGCCCTCCGCCGAATTTATAATGAGATAGAAATTTCACTTTCCACAGAGGCAGCAGAAAAACAGACGCAAACCAATAAAATCCATGGGCGCTGTCAGTAGGAAATTTCGATTATTGATTTGTTATTTTCACAACTGATAAGCATTTTAAAAATTCCAAAATGTGGTAGATTTTGTTGGAAAAAATATGAGAGATCGAATTAATTGAATTCTTTCAGTATCATATGCCTTTATTTATTATCTTTTCAAAAGAACGATTTTCAGCAGAAATCATTCTTAATAAATATTTAAGAATTTAATTGTGTAACTTCATTGAGCAGACTAATCTTCATTATTGTTTGATAACGAAGATTCTCTGCTGAATGCTTTTGCCATCCTTTTACTTGTAATCAATAAATAAGTTAAATAAATAATTTAAACTAGACTTAAATTATTATTTGGTTGCATGCTCGCTGAGGCTGAGGTAAGTGTGAATCCTCGTCTTGCAAATCCAGGTCAAAGGTCATCTATCTCTTTTACCACTCCTTCTCCAGCCAGACGGGCTGCTGGGTGTGCGAGTGGGAGTAGACCACGGGCACGGGAGCCTGGACGGGAAGAGGGGCGGCGGCATAGGCGGCGGCTGCCTGGACGGGAAGGGCTCGGGACAGCATCTGACCGATGGCCAGCACCAGCAGGATGACTCCCACGCCCAATCCCTTGATGGAGACCACGGTCAAGGCCGCCAGCAGGGTGGTGATCACGCCCACGACAAAGGCGCCTGGCACCAAGGCGAAGCTGATGCGCCGCAGGAAATGATGGCCAAAGGTACGGCTTTCTGGAAGAAAGTGTGGACCAATTAACTTTATTCACAAACTTATTAAGGGATCACAATCAGATTCCTCCGTAAATATTTTCTATACCGGTAAAAAGCAACCAAATATGTTTTTTAAGGGGATTTCATTAATAGATTTCTTGAGTCATATTATTCTTTCGGAAAATTTTCTCTGATATATCTTCAAGAACTATTTTTTTTCACTAACCCGCCACATCCGACTCCGCATCCGAGCTGTTGGCCGCCTGCTGCTGACCCAGCACCAAATCACAGGCCAAAAACAGGCAAACGAGGGCAAACACAATCTTCTGGTTGGCGGCCATTTCGATTTGATTCGATGATCGTTGATTCCTTGAGGATGAGTATCTGGTAATCCGTTTGACACTGCTGCACTGCACGACTCCGGCACTGGCTAACAATTGAATGGAGGGCTCACATTGACATTGGCTTTTATCGACGAGGGTTTTGTGTTTGGGCCGGCTCACTGGGCGGCTACTTGAAATTCGGCAGCCGGACATCGCGCAGCCGCAGCGTAGCACGAACGTGCGCCAAAACAAGCAAATCGTGCCGCCGCCATACGATACGGCTCATACCGGCAGCAGACTGCCCCCGACTCATAGATGTCAGTACACAGTGAATAAAAAATTATACCGTCTTTTTTTTAAGAATGCTATAATATTTTCTTAAACCTTTGAACAAAAAATTGATTTTACAGAGGCTTTATCATACTCTTTTTCCTGTTTAACACTTTAATAATAAATAATAGTTAGCAATGAATTTAAACTATATTTATAAACTAAAATATTTTGGCCAATTAATTATATATTTATTATATTAATAATTCTATTAGTGTTTTTTCGCAGTGCACTCCTTTGAATATGCATGCAGTCCGTCATTATTTTCACTGCCTTTGAAGGGGCCCTTTTTCGGGCGCAACGCATTTGGGGGTGTACTGCATAGGAACTTGGACATGGAACTCGGACTTCAAACTTGGACATGGGCATTCTTTCACGACGCGTGTCTATATTGAGGGCAGCACCCAAGTCTTAGCGATCGATTCGCTTTCATTTTTCGTCGCTGGTCGATAATGATTTATCAGCTAATTAACAATGGGGTACTGCATTTTAATGTTTAATCTATAGCTTTACGAAAAAACGGCAACTTTGTCTTATACGATGGCTGGGTAACGGATTTTCATTGATGAATGTTGGCATACCACGTCTTCGTCATTGCAATTCACTTTCATTAACGGAAATAAATCGAAATGCAAAGCAAGCATATACCCTTTCTTCAGTCTTTTGAGTTTTTGTATGTATAATTTATATTTAAGAGCTCTAAAAATGTTTCTACATTTGTAATACTAATTCTTAGAATTTAAATAAATTAATTCACTTAAATATATATGGTACGTTCTTTCAATGGTGACAAAATATAAAGCACTATTATGACTCAGAAATGTGTTGACCATAATTTTGCTTGTCATATGTCTAATACTATTTAGATTGGATTATCCGACTTTTTTTTGTACTAATAAAAGATAAGATAAGCTAGTATGTGCTACTTGTTATCGAACCGTGATATGGTGGACATAAAACACGCCTATTGGGACAGTAAAACCATAGCTACTGCACTCGATCCGCATAAAGATTTCCCTATTGCGAATTGGAGTATTTGTTTGCTAATTGTGTGAAAGTAAATTAGGTGACCAAATACGTAAAGCGGATTTTTCGCAAAAGCTGATGGATGGATAGAATTTACTTTCTACTCTGGATTTTGATTTTGAGAGCGATCTGCCTGCCGCCTGCGCCAGTTTTGTCAACAACTTTCCCATGCGATGGCCGTCAAGCGTTAATTGGAGGCGTCTGAAGTTGTGCGGTAAAGAATGGAGCATGGGGTATGGAGTATAGTGTATAGAGTCGGGAACCGTTAGCAGGCTACCTAGACAGCCGGCTTTATTTATGGCCAATGCAGCGGTGTCCCGGGGTCCCGGGGGCAATTAAAGCTAAAAGAAATCAATGAGCGAGATCACTGAGAAATTGCAGGCCTACTCTAGATATTTGTATTTTTTTCGCTTGTAACACAGACATCGACTTGGACCAGTGGCAATTTAATTGAAGAGGATCCAGCACAAGAATCGTGTTCTAGCGGCGGCAACCTGCAACATTGCAACTTGCAGCGGCAACTTCTCGACTCTTTCAGCTGTCTCTGTGCTCAATTCCAATGCCAACTCCATTCCAGTCTCAGAATGCAGCTAGCTTTGGCTTTTCTACAGCAGCCGTGCTGCTGCTTTTCTTCAGCTTTCTTCGGAGTTGATAAAACTCTTGGCCGCCGCCGATCGTGCCACATTTTGCGGCTGGCCATTGCAGCGGTTGCACGCAGCTTTATTTACCTTGGACTCAAATTTAACTTGGACATGCAACAGAGATGAACGGTCACTTGGTGAGATTCCTTTTACTGTGCGTGCTCTGCAGCTCGCTGGCCTTTGGCCAGGATAGAGATACTGATGGCAACCAGGAGACATCCACCGCCAGCCAGGAGGCAGCCCGAGGATTGGCCAGCAGCTATGAGCCGGAGGACAAGCAGGCGCTGCGGAAGAACTCGCACATCTTTATGGGCATCTACAAGAACTACAAGAGCACCTATCTGGGCAACAAGACGACCAGTGAGTACAAAAAAAGGCTGCGAGATCGCGTGAGTGCTCCCCAAATGGCGGAAAACGAAACGCCCGAATCATTGGATCCCGAACAGCTGGACCCTAAGGATTCACTGGTCCAAGACATCCGTCAAGATGCCCAGGCGCAGGCTTTGATAGAGGCCCAAACCGAATCCCCAAATTACGATGATAGTGAATCCTTAGCTGGAAAAAAGCGGCGCAAACGCAAGCGCAAGGATCGCAACAAGCGGCGGGAGGAGGTGGAAACCGAAACGGATCAACCTGAAAGTGATCCTGACCTAGAGAACGAGACCATCCAGCGGTATCATGTGGGTCCTGGACTCAATGTCAGTCTGGACATGAGCAACGACATTGTACACGTGAAGCTGGATGGCGAGAATCTCAAGGAGATCATGGGAGCTCGCTGGTTAACCCTAGATAATAGTGAAGAAGGTGGGTTTATATAACATTAAAATTAGTATAAATTAATACTAACTTATAAAATTTATAATCTTCTTAGGTCGTGGCAAGAAGTACGACATGATCACCAAAGTCTTACCACTCTTCATCCTCCCCTTCCTCATCCAATCGGCCATTGTTCCATTTCTGGTCACTAAGCTGAAGTTGCTCCTGGTCAAATCCATTCTGGTGGGCAAACTGGCCATCTTCCTGCTGATCATCTCGGCCATCAAGAATGGCAACAAGATGGTCCAGAGCTACGAGGTGCCCTCCTACTGGGCCGGCGAACCCAGTCGGAGGTCGGAGTTGGCCGCCGCTGCCTCCTCGGCGGCTGCCGCCTACAATGGCTATCGGGTTGAGGGCAAACCGACCACCTGGATCAGCTAGACCGGGGGAACACAGTCTCACATTGCTATAAGTTCGGTTCTAGGCTTTTAGTACTTCGAAATAAACATACACACAAATCGGGTTGATTCACTGTGTTTTTTCTTGGGTCGGAATTGAAATTATAATGATATATATAACCAAACATCTAACTGACCGTTAGATGTTTGGTTATATATATCATTATATCATGGGTAAAATGGAACCCACAGATAAAAGGTTGACTTTATTAGGCAACTTGAGAATTTTGCATGTTAAATAGGCAAAAAAGTATCCAGTACAACACCTGCTGATGGAAGAATGTGAATGAAAGCATATTTCATTTTTATAAACACCTGCAGAAAGTGATTTCGACTTCGATGATATAATGACTTCATAAAAATGCAAAATCCCCATAAACTTGTAGAAAGGTGATTAGAAAATGTTATGTATGGTATATATAAAATTAAGTATTTATTGATATTATTTGTTGTGGCAATAAATTAGCGGTGGGTTGAAATAAATTAACTTAAATTAAGGTATCATTTCTTCATGGGTCTCGACCAGCGCCCCGGCTTCCTTATGGATCATCCTTTCAGTAGCAGGAGTACTGCCTTTCCAGCTGGACGCACACATCGCACTGGAGTCGGAATCCCCAGACCAGTTTGCAGTTGCACCTCCGCTCGGATCGCAAGTGCTGTGATCGAACGCGATATCCACAGACACGGCACAGCTGCTGGCAGGAGAGGCGCTCCTCCAGAGAACCGCTGCCATCCTTGGAGCACTGGCGACCACGAGTTCCCTTCCACAACCCCCGGGAATCGTGCTCACAGTAGTTGGGCGAATCCTGCATAAAGACCAGAGAGTCGAGAGGAATGTTCTCCCACATGATCTTCAGATTGCTACTGGCGCTGTCCAGTTGTATGGCATCGTCGTACATTTGGAGGAGATCTTGGGCAATGGATTCGAAGGGCTTGAGGACAGTCACACACTCCTCCTCCTGGCAGTTGCCCTGCACAGGTCCTGGCTGCTTGCACCGGCACTCCTGCTCCAGGGATCTTTCTAGAAGGGCTCCAACCACCCGTCGATTGTGAGCAGTGGCTCCTGATCCTGTTCCAAATTGCTTCACGAACTGCTCCAGTGCCTTGGAGGGTTCATGGGCACAAGGAACATTCAAGGCGTTCTCAGTGCATCCACATCCTGCGATCACGCCATTCGCACAATCCTTAGTCAGTGTGTGAACTATGGCTGCCATGGAGATGGCCGCCACATAGACATCCTCCCTATTCGGAGTCTTCTCTTCTGGCTTGGAGTTCTTTTGTACAAAATCCTGGCTAGGGCAGTTCCATCGTTGCCACTGGAAGCTCTGCTGGCAACTTCCAAGAGCCTGTTTTAGTCCTTTTCCAGTTATATCCTCCCAGGAGATTGGAGCTTGATACTGGGTGTACTGGTAGTAGTTCATGGGTTCCAAAACTCCAGCCAAGGTGGAGGTAACTTCCAGAAGTAATGTGATTGCAAAAAGCATGTTGTCTGATTTTATAGTGATAATAATATTTGATGTTTCCTTTGCGATGTCGTTAGCTCGACTGAATGATGACGATGCTGGTCAGCAGACTTATATAGCCTGATCTGGGCGCCCTCCTGGGGCCGGCCCGTGGGAAATTTGGGCCTGGTCAAAAAACCGGAAATTTGCCGTTTTCCACTTGGAAATTCTGATGGGCAGGGGGTAGGAACTCCCGGCGACGGATAAATACAAAAACCCACTGGCAGCCCGCGATGCAATTGCGGAGCAGCAGCCCAGTTTCCTGCGACTACCTGGAGGTAGTCCTCCTCGCTGTGACCACCTTT